AAATTCTTGGTTGACAATCTTTTCATGTTTTAGACAATTGTATACAACTGCTTCAGATCTTCATGGTTTCTGGGGAGAAATAAGCTATTGATCTTACTGAGAGTCTCTGTATATGATGAGTAGCTTCTCTGAGTTTTCAATTTTTATCTTTTGATAATTTAATTATGATATGTCTAATTGTAGCTCTCTTTGAGTTTATCCTACTTATGTTTCAGTGAGCACTAACAACTATACGTTTATGTTTTTAATCAAATTTGGCAAGTTTTTAGCCATTATGTCTCCAGATATGCCACCCTTTCTCTTCTCCTTGTGATGTTCTTACCATCTGTATGATGGTACACTAGCAGACTTGTTTTGCCCTGAGTGGAAACATGGCTCCCCTCATGGGGTGAAGACACAGGCCTATCTTGGTGATGCTGCTAGAAGCACGTCTTCAAAAATCATAATTCAACAACAAAAGCTCTCAGTAGAACTATGGGTGGGAACAAAGAAGAAAAGGCATCTGAGAGCAGAGTAAAAAGCCTATTAGTTGTTATGAACTGAATTGTGTCCCTCAAATAAACATGTTGAAGTTCTATCCTTTATCATAGATTGAACTGTGTCCCCCAGAAATTTGTGTCAATCTGGCTGGGCCATGATTTTCAGTGGCTTAACCAATACATGAAGTGATATATTCTGGCAGCTTCATAATGATGTAATTGTCCTCCGTGATGCGATCTGATGTCATCAGTTAATCGGTTGTTGGAAGATTAGGATGGAATGCAGTACCTTTAGTCAAGCCACAGCCCAGAATTTCATCCTGGAAGAGTGGGGAACTCCTTTAACAGATAGCTAAAATATGGAAGGATTTTTAGTAACAGGTAACAAGTAGAGGCTAGGAGAGTTTTAAGGTAAGTAATAGTAAAAGCTTTCATTGCCTCAAAAAGTGAGAGACAAAGTGTTCCCCGAAGAGGTGACGCCCTTAAGTTGGACGTCTAGCCTCCTAAACCATGAAAGAATAAATTTGCTTATTAAAACCATCCTCCTGTGGTATTTTTGTTAAAGGC